GGGGGGTAATAAACGAGATAGCCTGACACCGCTGCACACGCCAGTGAACCGAAACCTCTCTTGCTTACAATAGCGTCTTAGAAGACTGACTTTCCCAAGATTAGACCTAAGCGAAACTAATTTTTTTTAAACTGAAAATTAAACTACAGTGACTTCAGGCTCCTCTCTAAAACTGTGTGCACCCTTTAAATGATTCTAAACCACCATTTATTTTGTCAAATTCGAAAGTTTAGTGGTTCGGAAGTTTTAGGCGGCCAAAGTGACGAACTTTCACAGATATAATATACTAGCTAGGCCCCCTTGGGAAGAAAGGAATGATCGGCACATTAACATCCATTGAAAGTCACTGGCCTACTATAGTTACACTCTACTGGAATGGAGCAATAAATCTTGAGAGATGCAAAAATTTTAAAGGTCTAGATCTATACTCTCAAAACAAAATGCACCTAAAGAAATATCATTTTCGGTACTTCCGTTGCGAAGGACAGCCACGCAGATTTGTTTTGTTTCCCAGAGGAATCATCACAAAGGCCAAAGAAGGACTGGAACTTTTTGTCAAATATATTTTTCTAAATTCAGGTAACGAATAAATAAAAAATCGGGCTCCGTCAAGGGGACCTATCTATCATTTTGCAGGTACTTGCCAACTTTAAACTCTGCAGCTGTCGTAGTTTTATGGGGAAAAGGACACACCTGTTTCCAAGTTGCCAAATATATAATGGACGCATAGATCGATTCTCCTTTCCACTTTCGTGGTTGTACACGCCAAAATTTCAAAGGTGTGGAACCAGTGAGCGCGGCTAGTGAACAGAAACCTCACTTGTTTACAATGGCGTTTTAGAAGACGGACTTTCCCAAGATTATATCTCAACGAAACTAATGAAAAACTGAAAATTAAACTCCAGTGACTTCAGGCTCCTCAACAAAACTGTGCACCCTTTATATGATTCTGAACCACCATTAATTTTGTCAAATTCGAAAGTTAAGTGGTTCAGAAGTCTTAGGCGACCAGAGTGACGGACTTTTACAATTATAATATGAAGAGAAAGAGGTGTATATTGATTCTCTATTCCGCTTTCGTTGTTGTACACTCCAGAATGTCAAAGGTGTTGAACCAGTGACCACGACTAGTGAACGGAAACCCGACTTGTTTACAATGGCATCTTAGAAGACTGGACCTTCCCAAGATTAGATCTAAACGAAACTAATGAAAAACTGAAAATTAAACTCCAGTGACTTCAGGCTCCTCAATAAAACTGTGCACCCTTTCTGACACACCATTAATTTTGTCAAATTCGAAAGTTAAGTGATTCGGAAGTTTTCTGGGGCAAAAGTGACGAACTTTCACAAATATAATATACTAGCTGGGCCTCCCCTTTCAATTAAAGTAATTATCGGTGCATTAACATCAACTGAAAGTCATTGGCCTACAATAATACACTCTATTGTAATAGATCTATAGATTGATTCTCTATTCCGCTTTCGTGGTTGTACACTCCAGAATTTCAAAAGTGTGGAACCAGTGCGCATGGCGAGTGAACGGAAACCCGACTTGTTTGTAATGGCGTCTTAGAAGACGGACTTTCCCAAGATTAGATCTAAACGAAACTAATGAAAAGCTGAAAATTAAACCACATGACTTCAGGCTCCTCAATAAACATCTGCACCCTTTAAATGATTCTGAACCACCATTAATTTTGTCGAATTCGAAAGTTAAGTGGTTCGGAAGTTTTATGCGGCGAAAGTAACGAATTTTCACAAATCTCTATCTATACACATTATTATATTTGTTAACGTTCGTCAAACATGGTGGGCATGAACACCACAGTCATACACATCATAAGCTATCATAGAATGTAGAACACAGTGTTAATTGCTGACCTTATACCAAATTTGAACATCAAGACCGTTGTAATTAATCAAGTTCATCATAATTAATTAAATCAAATTGTTTTGCAATCAAAGAGAGCTGAAGAAAGTATCTTGGCATGTTATGAAGATGTGTTTAGTGAAGATTTTGGTTGAATCGTAATTAAGAATGTCCAGAGAAACATAGACGAAAAGAAAAAAGCAACCCCAAACAAGCAAAGAACTAGACAGAAACATTAATATGAACACAGAATCGACGTGATGAACCACATGTCTAAAAGTTTGTCATACATACAACAAATTATGTGAATGGTGTATATTTTTAACGATAAGACTGGTCGATTCTTAACAAATTATCAACGAGTATCTAAGGCTTTGCTACCTTACTTTGTTCTAATGGAGTTTCGAAATTCAACTTCCAAGTCCAAAGTTGGTGGCCATTAATTTGAAACAGAAGCGGTTGTACTAGCTGTTTCACTGTTTGTATCTTGTATTTAAAAAAAGTCGGCCTATTCAAAATCTCTCATTGGGTTTATTTTGGCAAAATTCGTTTGAAATATAAAAAAATATGTAGGTAATTTCCAAAAGTCAAATAATCTAAATTTGATGTAAATTGAGGTATTACAAGTTATTAAACCCCCCCCCCCCACACACACACATACACACACACACGTACATATCAAAACAAAAACTAACAGAATAATTGAGACAGTCTCAGACACTACTACTACACTGTACTTATTTCTTTATTTTAGCACTAAAATTGTTTTGAAAATTGACAGAAATGGACTGATACATTCGCCCTGTATGGTACTACTTATAATGGAAACAAGAAACAAACAAGCGAGCGAGGGAACAGAAAAACACATTCTTTAATTTAAAAAAAAAAAAGAATTAGAGTAGGGCGTTTGAACAACGCAGATCGTTATCCACAGGCCGTATTTTCATTTCGCTGAAGGTGACAGAGTCGAAGAAGCCGGTCACCGGCAGCCAGGTCAGGCCATGTCCATACCATTTTTTGTTTCCCCAGTTGCCGTTCAGGTGGACGTGGTGACATCCCGAGTACCACCAGCCTCCGTGGTAGCGTTCTGCACAGTTTCCATTCTCAAATTTGTCGTGGTCACGGTCAAAGGTGGTGAATGCTTGACCATTGTGATACGACATCGTGTCTTCAGCATTGCCCGAATATCCGGATATCTGGATAGTGTAGTACTCCGGTTCGCCCAAAAGAGAAAAGTTATTGTATTTAGCGTAGTAGTTCTTTTCTTTGTAGGAGAAGTCAATTCTCAGTTCATATCTTTGCTGTGGATGAGAAGGCGACAAAGGTAAAAGGTCATAAATACACACGTGGCTTCATCTCACCCACACTTAACTAGTTATAACGTCACACACACCCTCATGACGTCAGGTAACCACCCATGACGTCACGTACCCACTAGTTCACTTCATGCAACCATTCATGACGTTTTACATCGTGTCTTCAGCATTGCCCGAAAGAACTACTACGCTAAATACAATAACTTTTCTCTTTTGGGCGAACCGGAGTACTACACTATCCAGATATCCGGATATTCGGGCAATGCTGAAGACACGATGTATAACGTCATGAATAGGTGTAGGTGGTCCACGCCTGACAGGCTGCGTTTTTCCTGCTCTGTAATGTTTGTGTCTTTTTCGTATCTTGTGAATGGATTGTGGCTTTTCAAGTTGGCTTACAGGATAAATAAGAAACATTCGTGCTTTTTGTGTTATTTTTATTAGTGCTTGATCACAAATTACAAACTATTTGCAAGAAATATATTTCGTTATGGAAGTTCTATCCTTGGCTTTGGCCATTTTCAACATTTACAGTATTGTGTGGAAAGCCGTGTTCACCACCCAACCCCACCCCGTTTATAATGTTAACAGCTATGCCAACATTTTTCTGAATAATAGAAGTGAACACTGTCAAGTTGTGAGTCCGGTGTGTGTTGTGAGTCCCCGTGCGGAATCTACAAAGGTGTGCTACACCAGAGACCAGTTATTGTCTGTAAACAAAAAGACACATGACATTTCATATGAAACGGCCGTTTGCTTGTCTCAGCTTGGCCTTGAAAGATCTGAAGACTCAGCCAGTAAAGTTAAGAAATACAAGAGGGGGAAACGAGAAGGTAGTAGAAAACAAAGACCAATAATTGATGTCACATGGAATATGTGTGTTATTTTAAATGAACCTCGACGCGTCATTTCTCCCATGAACTTAATTGCCGTTGACACAAAAACACCGTAACTGAATTGTCAAGTAA